GATCAGGATCAGATTCTGCTGACGGAGAACTGCAGCTCTCCCAGATCACCTCCACCAAACACACACTTAGCAATATTATCTACCTCTGGAACTAGCTAAACTACTTCGAAATATGTTTATTCTTTACTGTGGGGTGACTCATTACTGGATCACGCACTGCATGAGACCGATACTGTCAGGAGAGTGAGAGTTTCTCCAGTTTTTCACCTGATGAGCCCAGAGTAAAATGCTTTTGTGTGCACGAACTATAGGTGAACAGCGAACACCAGTTTGATGTTGGTGACAGGATGAATATCCTGGAAAAAGTTATTGGGGGGGTGCCAAATCCGCCAGCATATTGCTTGCCTTTTATCTCCTGTGTCACTTTTGCTGTAACGCTGTACATTTTCCTGATGCAACTTTGTCGTGGAATTCCTTTTATATGCTTGTTTCCATCCCAGATAATCACTATTGACGAGGCTAAGCGCAGGCAGAGTTTCAGCAGCTGTGATGCAGAACTATCAGTGGATGCACTTCCCATACTCGGTGAGGCCAGTGACCTGCTGCAGGACACACACATGGAGAAGGTATATAATACTTTTTACCACATAAAATAAATCCAGATTCTGAAATGACGAAATATGCAAGATACTAATCCGTACGCTTCTTAATCTGATGATGTGTTTGCCCTCCAGCTTGCTTGCCGCTTGCCGCCCCGTGTGCAGATCTACCCCTGGAGACTGGCCTACAGCACGGTGAAGCACGGGACCAGCCTGAAGACTCTGTACCGGAGCCTGGCAGACGTGGAGAGTCCGGTTCTGCTCGTCATCAAAGATATGGACAACCAGGTAGTTAACTGTGCAAAGGGTCCTACTGTATGTGCGTTAATACGGCCACACTGGCTGAGAATACACGAGGTAAATAACAGTCAAAGAAAAAGGCCTTGTATCATAAGTGGTTGATACACAGGTGGCAAAAGAAATGTATAGGTAATGATATTTTAAGATTTTTACATAACAAGGCTTCAATACAGAGTATTTTTGTCCTACTCATGTCAGTCATCATATTTCACAACGTAATCCCCCCCTAAAAAATCAACTGAATCTGCCTCTTTATCACAGATATTTGGGGCTTTCTCAAGTCATCCGTTCAAAATGAGCGAACATTGCTACGGCACAGGAGAGACGTTCCTCTTCAGCTTCTGTCCTGAAATCAAGGTTTGCCTTACCATTGTTTATAATCTCAATTTAGGTATGAGGTCTCATTATTTTAATAGCGTTAACATAAATTGCTTGCTCTCATTTTCAGGTGTACCGCTGGACGGGCGAGAATTCTTACTTTGTGAAGGGAAATATTGATTCTCTGCAGATGGGAGGAGGAGGGTAAGAAGCAAATCATTAGCTTTTTCACTCTGGGTTTCTTTGGGTTTACCATCAGTTAATTTCCTCTCTCCCCTCTGCAGTGGTCAGATGGGTCTGTGGCTGGACGCTGAGCTGTACCGAGGCACCACCAACAAATGCGCCACTTTCAACAACCAGCCCCTCTCCGCTCAGCGGGACTTCAACATCCACAGTGTGGAGGTCTGGATCTTCGAGTAGTCTCACCTGATCATAGGTACTCCTACATACAACCCCTGCTCCAACATCCCCCCCCCCCCAAGTCTATTACACGCCACTTGGAGGCTAAAGCTAGCTCCCCCACCACGACACTGAACGTTCTTTGAGAGAAGACTGGCGGAGAACGGCCATCTGTAGTCTGCTTCGACCTTCGGCAGGCAGGTCGGCCAGTTTGCGTTTGGCTCCTCCTTCCTTCTAAGGTGGAAGTGTGTCGTTGCTCTCCGTTCATTGGCTGCCTTAGACATCCGTCAACGCCTCAAGCTTTCCCAGCATGCAAACTGCCTGACCACCATAAGAGAGGAAAGAGAGAAGAGGAAGGATGCTGATGTTACTATTGAGGTAATCCCTAAAATATTTCAAGTGTGAGGAAGAACAAGGTTTCCCATTATGATGAATGTTATTTTTTGCAGGAATAATGATGTAATTAGTTTATTTGGGAATGTACAGGATAAAGTGCTGAAGACATTTTTTTTAAGATGTTATGGATTTTAAAAGGAAGTGCAAATTGCCAGAAAGATTATTTTGGATCCTCTACTATTAAATTCATTTAAATGCAGGAAATGTTTACAATGGAAGCGTTGCACTTCCTCTGACGGCTGAGTTTTAGGTGAACTTAATGAGTGTTTCATTGCATCATCCCACAACTACTTAAGTTTTAATTTCCCCAAAAGAAATCCAGGTTTGCAAAGAACAAATATTTTTATTTCGCATTTGTTGTGAGTTTATTTTATAAAATATTTTAGATTTCTTTATTTTTAAATTAATTATTTTTATTTTTAAATTGTATTCTTATTACATTGAGTGCTCAATTTTTTTTTTTAATGGATGTGGTTTTATAGAAAGTTAAATGTTTCTGTTTGTGATTGGACCTAACAAGCACTACAAATGACTGTTTTGTCAGTATTGAATTCGTATCTCACGTCGACTGATTTCTACCTGTTTTTATTAATTTTGCGGTCATTGTTTAGAGCCAGTAGAAGTTAAACATGATGTCACTTTGCACTACAGGATTTATCGACAGTCATTGCTCTGTTGTGGCCTCGTGTAATTAAACATTTCGTCAATGTAAAATTGTTACTTAATGCTATTTGATCACCACTACAGGTCAGCATTTGCTTTACTTAAAAATGGAAAAAGGGACAGTCTGTTTTTGCACTCTGGTAAGCCGCTAACAAAAAATTCCGATCTACTAACACAGAAAATAAATGTTCATTTATATCCTTTGTGTCATACAGAGGCTTTTAGTGCATGCATTATGCAATACTGCAAATGTTTGACACCACTCAATGATACCTGCCATACTTTTCACTAATGCCAGTTATCGCTTTATGTGAAAATGAGCTTTGTGTTCTTGTGTTTTAACTGTGAATGATCCCTGAGTATTATTTCTCGTGAACCCAAAACTGCTGTGATATTAATATGGATCTATTTATTGTGTTGTTATAGCAAACACATTTAAACCTAAATAAATGTTATATATACACACATATTATTAAGGGTTGTGTTGTTTGTGTCTACTTTAATATATCCCATCTTATGGTTTATTGTCGGTAATCATTGTAGGACTGTTAAAAGAGTGTATTCATTTAAGTCTTAGTGTTACTGTTAGACACTGTGCCATAGCTGTATAAGGAAGAAGCCAGTGGTGGGATCTTTCCGGGAAGTCATTCACTGCAAAGATCTCACAGTAAGAAGATGAAACACTCTGAACATGAAACTGAATTACTCTCTGCCCTAAATGAATTCAATTGAGAGGAAACAGGAGAAATAAATTATGAAGTTAAGATATTAGTAGAGGTTTAAGTTTGTTGAACCTTAAAATTGTTTCGATTTTCAATAAAAAATCTATATTTGGCTCACAGCCACAGATGTCATTTATACTGGGGACGCTGGGGACCAACCACTTTTGTAAATGGCTAATTTGCTCCCCACCGTTTTGCATTAGGATCATTTGTTAAACATGTTCTGAAAATAGCGTGCACAAAGAATTGTACACTTTGAGATTTGCACAACAGAACATGTACAATGTTGACGACTGTTCACACTTTTTGGGTGTATTTCTGGCCATCCAAGTGGTGCAATTTGGACCTGCGACACGTTTAATATTATAATTCAATAGAGAATAGTAATGTTGCTCCCGCTTTGCCCAGTGTAGCATAGTTACTACACTAGTTGTCAAAAAAAGTATTGTAATCGTATGTTTGTATACACATACATAAGCTTACAATGCTTATCTATGTATATAATATATGTATGGTTTGCGGGGGACGCTTAATGCAGTAGTGTTTTTAAATGTGACCCACCACTTTTTCTAACAACATTACACCAATAATTTAGCTTATTAATAATAACAATAATAGATTACATTTTATAGCGCATTTCAAGGGACCCAAGGCCGCTTTACATGCTATGAACAAACAAACAAGTAAAAGGCAAATAATAAAATATAAATTAAATAACTAGCAGTGGGAGTGGAAGCAGGGGGGCTGTGATGGGTTAGGGGTCGAAGGCCATGAACAGGTGAGTTTTTAATGATGACTTGAAGTTGTATGCAAGTTATTATTGTATACCAAGAACTTCCAGTTGAGAGGACATTTCTGTGATCTGACCCTTTCACATATTTAATGTTACATTTTGTTGGGGAATAATTTGCCCTGCATGTCGTTCGCCCTCTGACGCAGCTGACCAACCTTGAGAAGCTGTTATCTCCCATAAGGAGGGGCTGCCCTCGGCCTAGCATATTGTTGATGTTGCCAGTTTATGACCGGGCAACTCTCTATCAGAGATCGTTATTGTTGTGGGACACCTGGAACACATCCTTCTCGGGGTGTAGACTTTATATAATACAGTCTATGGGTGTAGATGACCCCGAGCCATACGCGACAACGACTGTGATTCAGTGTCCTCAGCTGTTTAGTCTATCTATTGAAGAATGTTGATTATTACACTCTGAACTAGTTAAAACCTCGAGCTACAGGAGGGTTCTTCAGAATTTATTGTTTGTGGCATCTCTCAACCGTGTGGTCAACTCGTGGCCCGTGACATGTCTTGTGAATTCTCCGGCCGAAGCTTCAAATAAACCATCAGTGTTTGACATCTGGCTCCAGCTCTCCTTCGTGTTTGAGTCCTGACTCCAATTGCTTCAGAAGTTTCCCCCACACATTTCATTACATTTATTCCTCTATAATGTCACTCTATTTGTTTATTTCGGTTTAAACAAGCCAGTAAAAGATTTGAAATATTGTGTTCAAACGGTTCAAACCGTGTATGATGTGAGGATTTATGGAAACAAGATTGAGTAACATGTCTTCGTAAATATAGACGATCTTTGGCCCACATACAGCCTGGGCAGAGCCCTAGAGGGCTCTGAGCCTGGGTAACCAGTAGATGGGCGGGACTTCGCCTCTCTATCATAGGTTGTGTTTACCGGCAACGCGTTATGAAGGAAACAACAAAGACCATCTGAAAAATGTTGGGAAACAACTCAAAGTTAACTTCAGAAAGCGATGAAACTTGCATTTTCTGTTTGATAGCAAACGGTCAAGACAAAGAAACACAAGTCATCAAAAAGGTAAGATCCTTAAAGTTGTAACGGCAGGTAAAGCTCACCTCTATTGCATTACACCATTGTATCAACAATATAAGGGTTTAAATACCGTTTGGTTATCCTTCAGAAGTCTTTAAATCAGGAAATGGCAACAATGGAGATGTTAGAGTCAGACTCATTTTGTGCCTTTCATCATAGCGGAAGCAGTTGACCTTTTTCGGTCTGGATATTTACTCTCGTTTTAATAGCCATGAAATTGTTGAAGTCTGAGGTAGGCCTACACACAAAATAAAATTATTAAAGGTCAACGTCTCTACATTTCAGAGAATGGATAATTATGCAGTGGTTAAAAATACATGTCATTATTAGTTTTGCTAGTTAAGAAGAAACGTCTACATTTTTACAAAGGTTATTAGGCATCTGAATAATGATAATAAACTTTATTTTATATAGCCCTTTTCAAGAAGACAAGGTACAAAAGTGATCTACAAGAAATAAACGTCAGACAAATAATAATACAAACAATTTAAAAGTGATATAACTTGAGCAAAGAAACTACAAAATGGTAAATAAAAAAATTATAAAAAAGTACAATAAGTTAGGTAAAACAAAATTAAATAAATAACAATGCATTTTAAGAATAGACTTAACAGATAAAGGGTCCAGTTTTGGCCACAAACACGGCAAAAACACGTTGTTGTTCCAGAGAATGGGGGCCCACAATAATACATCTGAGTTTTATCCATGCTGCATTCATTGGCTGTAGGTTAATGTGTGTGTTTTGTATCTGTTATTCCTTCCTCTCTGACAGAACAATGAGCTGGTGTGTTTTAGAGACATTTACCCTGCTGCTCCTCACCACTACCTGGTTGTACCCATTCAGCACATCCACAACTGCTTCTCGCTACACAGGGGAAACGTTGATCTCGGTCAGTCATAAGATCACTAAAAGCTAATAAAAAGCTCTGCAAAAACACGGAACCTCTATTTCTCCTGACCTGCTGTCCCTTACTGCTTATAGTCACACTACTACAGCTTCTACAAATAAAGCTGCAAAGACTCTTACTATACCTTTAGAGCTATTTAGGTGTTATGAGACTGCTGCTGAAAGTATTTCCACAACTGATACTGCAACTTCCGCATTTACTTTTAAACATCTGGATTTACCTTATCCTTTATTTGAGTTCATCTTATTATGGGGCTCCCTAATAGTGGTATAACTGAAGTATTGTAACTTGTATCCAACAGTTAAGAGGATGGCTGAAATGGGGAAAGCTGTGCTACAAGACCAAGGGATCACTAATATGGAGGATATAAGGTAGGAAGAACGGTCGTGTGTGTGTGTGGTTGTGTGTGTTTGACCTTCAATAAGCACAAAGCTTAAAGGAATATCTTGTGGAAAGTTAAATGACATGATTGATACTACATATCTGGATGTCAGGCATAAGACTATGAGTTTAGCACAAAGAGTTAAACCGCTAACCTGGCTCCAAACAAGCATTCTATCTCCTTTTTTTTTTTAAATGTATATAAAGTGCAAACAAAATAATCCAGCATCTACGCCAACAGCAATCTGTTGTTTTTTCCCTTTTTCATAAGGTTAAAACTAATAAGAAATAAGAAACCAGTGAGCTCTAGAGGAATATTTTGTTGTTGAAATGCACCTTTAAGCTCAATTCCGACTATATGGTTGTAGCTTAAAATGTTAAGAGAGGTGGAAATACTCACTCTGTCAAAAGGTTTTTGTTATTTTAAGTTTTTTATGAATTTATTAAAATGTTTCCTTTACATTTATGTGTTTTCCTACACAGCCTCGGCTTCCACCAACCTCCCTTTACTTCCGTCGGTCATCTCCACCTCCATGTGCTCGCTCCTCGCAGCCAAATATACCAACACTTGATGTATAAGTTTATTCCAAAGACGGACAATTTTGTTACGGTGAGAGGCTCAATGGCTAAATATGAGACGTTAATGTTACTCAAACACTTACAGTATATTGACTATTTTCTTTGAACTGGACCCTTTATGCCCTTGCACTATCTAAAAGAATATGTTTCACTTTACAGGAAGAAAGTCTCCGGAATCGTATTAAGGATAAAGCTTCCATAGTAAAGGGAGAGTGGAGTGGACTGTATAAACTATCAAGACCATCCATCTTCTCCCGCTTATCCGTGGTCGGGTCGCGGAGGTAGCAGTTCCAGCAGAGAGCCCCAAACGTTCCTTTCCCTGGCCACATCAACCAGCTCTGACTGGGGGATCCCAAGGCGTTCCCAGGCCAGGGAAGAGATATAATCCCTCCACCTGGTCCTAGGTCTACCCCTTGGTCTCTTCCCAGCTGGACGTGCCTGGAACGCCTCTCTAGGGAGGTGCCCAGGTGGCATCCTAACTAGGTAGGTGCCCGAACAACCTCAACTGGCTCCTTTCGACGCGAAGGAGGAGCGGTTCAACTCCGAGTCCCTCCTGGATGACCGAACTTCTCACCTTATCCCTAAGGGAGACACCGGCCACCCTGCGGAGAAAACCCATCTCGGCCGCTTGTATCCGCGATCTCGTTCTTTCGGTCCTTCAAGACCATTTTTTGTAAACCCTAACAACCTGTCCTTCACTGCAAACATCGCTGCAACAACCCGCTACTGCAGATTCACTCTTTACAACATCAGGAGGATACGTCCCCTCCTGACCCAGAAAGCGACGCAGCTTCTGGTCCAGGCTCTCGTCACGCCTAGACTACTGCAACTCCCTCCTGGCTGGTCTACCTGCATGTGCCATCCGACCTCTGCAGCTCATCCAGAATGCAGCGGCTCGTCTGGTCTTCAACCTTCCAACATTTTCCCACACCACNGCAAACATCGCTGCTACAACCTGCTGCTGTAGATACACTCTTTACAACATCAGGAGGATACGTCCCCAGCTGACCCAGAAAACCGCGCAGGTTCTGGTCCAGGCTCTCGTCATCTCACGCCTAGACTACTGCAACTCCCTCCTGGCTGGTCTACCTGCATGTGTCATCCGACCTCTGCAGCTCATCCAGAATGCAGCGGCTCGTCTGGTCTTCAACCTTCCAACATTTTCCCACACCACGCCGCTCCTCCGCTCCCTTCACTGGCTTCCAGTAACTGCTAGAATCCACTTCAAGAGACTGGTACTTGCGTACCATGCTGCGAATGGATCTGGCCCTTCCTACATCCAGGACATGGTTAAACCGTACACCCCAGCACGTGCACTCCGCTCTGCATCAGCCAAACGGCTCGCTGCACCCGCACTGCGACGGGGACCCAAGTTCCCATCAGCAAAAACACGTTGGTTTGCTATCCTGGCTCCAAAATGGTGGAATGAGCTCCCCATTGAAATCAGGACAGCAGAAAGCTTACACATCTTCTTCAGACTGAAAACTCATCTCTTTAGACTCCACTTCGAGCGATAGAATTACTAACAAAGCACTTATATACGAACAAAGCACTTATACACTAATAAAGGACTGGCTTATCTAAAGCCAGTTGAGTAGTACTTGAATTGTTTTAGCTCTATGAAACCTGATGTACTTATATGATTCTGTTTTCTTCAAGTTTGTATCTTCTTGGTCGAATGCACTTATTGTAAGTCGCTTTGGATAAAAGCGTCAGCTAAATGCAATGTAATGTAAACTGAGTGATTTAATGAAATAATGATAATAATAATAGTTTGGTTTAATCAAATGTTTCACCGAATGGCTGACCTCTCGTGAGTAAAGGGCAAACCACGTATCATCAGAGCTCAGAAAGGCTTAATGTTACAATTACTACTGACTATAACCTGCATTTAGTTTTGTTGCCTTTTGTATTTGAATGAATTAACTGTGAACCTGAAAGGTCATGGCACTTAAAGGCACAATGAGTACCGTTTGTCCCTTGTGGTTGTTGTAAATTCAAAGTTTGCTCCTCCTCTCCATGGAGGACATTTGTTTTTGATTGTGTGTGTACGCTTTCTTCATCAATTGAAACAGCTGCTTATACCTTTTGATATTTTCTGTCACAACCTATCTGATTTTAATTGTAATTAAAGGTCTCGAGAAGCTCCAAATAAAGGAATCCTCTCTGACAAAGTCTTAATGGTTTTATTATCCTTGATAATTACCTAATATTAACGACATGGGTCAATGTTTTCTACGGTATTTCTAAGGTGTTTCTCAGTTTCTGTCTGAACACTGTTTGGAGAAAAAAACTCATGAGAATACTGTAGGTAAATGGTTTTATGAAGAAATGTCAATATTTACTTTAAATTGGCAGGGTGTGCATAGATATTTAAAGGGTTCTCAAATGATATAAGATAAGAGTAATGGCTCTTGGCAAAATGCATTTCTGGTTTACATTACAGTGTCACTTCTCTCTGTGCACCACTTGGAGTCACTAGTGTGACTTTCAACTCTCACTTTGTTTTGATTTTATGATCCATAAAACATACAGGCTTTAAAAGCTGAATCTCAACTTTTTTGTATTACTTATGTAAAGATTTGAATGCAAAAATCATAAAACATCATCCTCTCTGACATTATTATGCTACTATAATACTGTGATTCATTTTCAACCTTAACATACAGATATACACACCTTGTCCCTTCAGGGCTGCAAACCATCCTTTTATAATCTTTTTGTCATATGTCTGTAGGGAGATTGAAAAGGGAGCTTTGTGTCATCTTGAGCTAAACTGAGGAAGAAGGTGTCCAAAACTATAACATCCGTCATCAACAGCAAAACATGTCAGAGTCTAGAAGAAGCTGTCATACTTCATTACAAATATATATATCAGTTCTTAGACCAATACTTTTTTTATGTTACTCTAAATCTACAAAAACAGCACAACTTGTTGGCACCCTTTAAAAATGCATCATCCTGCTATTTTCCCTGCAAGATTGAGCTTATTGAAAGCCCCTTGAAACCCAGATCCAGAGGGTTTCATCCTGTTAGGATAAATAAATAAATGTGGCCACATGCATTTGAAGTCTTTTATCTATCAAAATGTTTGCATGTTATCTGGGGATTTTACGGCTGTTGGCTGTCAATACTTATAAAGCCTTCTTTAATCAAGTATGAGAACAAATCAGGAATTTTCAGGTCATTTATTTAATATCCCTTAAACCATTGTTGACAGAAAATAGGAATATGCCACCTAAAAGCACAACATGTGATATGAGAATGAGGAGAAAAAACAAGAAGGAATTGGATGTTAGATGGGTAACATCAAGTTAAAAGTGTGGTCCAACATTAGTTCTATTTTTTCAAATAATCAGGCAATAATAATATGTTTTATTTCCCTTCATTCAAACATTATATAACCAAACATTAACTTCAGGGGTTCATAGGTACTTATACAGAGTTAAAAAAAAACTAAATAAATATTAAAAAAGAAAGAAACTAGTGAAAAAACGGTAACATTTCAAATTAAATATTAATCAAATACACATTTGGTTTTGATTGCCTTCTTTTAAAAAAAAAAATGTTTTAATATCTTTGATAGTGGTGCCTTACTGTTGTAAATCTAGGTATGAATGTGCAAAATTTGGTTTAGAGTCAGTCCATATCTTCTTGTGAATGTTCCCAAAAATAAAATCAGGCCTAGTTGTATAAATAAGACAATATTTGTATAAAATCCATCACCTTTAAAGTGTATATCATACTGAAGTTGTATTGTTTGTCCTCAACATGAACCCACACATTTTGTTTGTACAAACAATGATAAAATAAATGACAAATTGGTTTATCATGTAAAATAATTAATACATTTATTTCTCTCTTTTTTTGTAAAAGCAGTAACACTGTCACCTGCAGCTGGTATCCTGGCTGGTGACGTCAGATTCTTGACGTCTCACGTCGACCTGACGCTGTGCTGCTGCGGTGAAGCCCCGCCCCTCCCCCCGTCAACAACTGGACTCCAGCTATTTGTAATTTCACTGCTAGCCTGCTAACGATGATTCATTGCGTTCGAAAAAAGCCAATTTAACCTAATCTGGGGGACATTTATTTTTCTGTCGTGTGCTTGCAACATACTCCATCGATAGCTGGTGCCGATGTGCATTAAATGTGAGCCAAAGGGCCGACGAGAGCGGTGATATCTTGTGGCTCACCGTCCTTTAGCCGCCTCGGAGAGCAGCTACTACTAGCACCTCCGGAGAGAGTTAGCTGGCTGACAGCTGGCTCGGCTAGCTACGTGCCTTCAACAGTAACGTAGCTAAGATTTACTGCCCGAAACAATGCATTCTCTCTGACATTGGTGAGTGTATTTAATGTGTTGGGCTTTAGTATTATCAAGTTTGTGCATGTCATTTGATTTTAAATCGCCTCAGCGTTGCGTTGCGAGCTAACAGCCAGGCTTGTTTGTAGCAGCAGCTGCACGAGCCACGCCTGGGCCATTTAAATTGCACGTCTGTGGCTGATAGCATTTGCTGCTGTTTTTCCTCCCTGCTCAGTTTTAGAGCACTATATTCATTCAGCTTGTTTTGGGGTTTACAGAGAGGACTGATGCCCAGTTGGTTGACACATTGGAGTAACTAAAACTAGCTAAGGTGCCATTGAAGATAACAGGGTGAGCCGTCATTACACCTGCCGATGCGCCCCTGGTTCTGATCAGAGCTGCCAATATGATGCCGGTAAGTCCACTCACACCCTGCACCTCTGGCATTTAAATGCAACTTATTGTTCCTTTATTATGTCATGATATATGCCAAGACCATTTATTATTATTTTTAAGGTACATTTTAAATTCATGAATAAACCTCTGCCTGATGTTGCGCAAGATAAACAACAAACAAAAAGATATGCATGAATAAAAATGCATCTCTTAAAACAGGGCTTACTCAAATCAAACATATCTAGAAATGAAAACAATGTAGGCACTTTCTTGTCTTTCCAAGGGTGCAGGTTTAACCTTAAAGAATATATACATTTACTTATAAAAATAAATGTTGTTCATAACATTTTGAGGTGTTATGCAGTAATAGGAATAGTTCCACATGTTGTTATTGCTATATAGCATTTGGGGGTCTTCATTAACAATTTGATGATTAACCGATTTAAGATGAATAGCCTAGTATTACACTCTGACTCTGTGCAGTCGTACATCTCACAAGTTCAAGCAAGATTCATATCTGTCCATTTTCCTTTCCCTCTGCCACCCAACTAATCTGTATCTATCCCAGAAATAAAAAAACTGTACTTCTTCTAGTACCTAATCTTTTGTCATCACTTCAGCTGATTTCCTTTCTGGACTTACATTTTTCATGTTAATGGTTACAAGGCCCCTCGGCAGGAGACATTTAAACAGGGCTTGGCATTTGGTTTGTGTTTTAACAACGCTGAATAGAATACATTTTCCTGCAATTATATGCATTATTGATTTACACTGCTGTACATCGGGACAGGTTTACTGTACACCAGGTACTATTGTCTCTATAATAATGCATTTGTGTTGAATAACGTTGCTTCGTTCTTGCATGATAAATGAAGTAGAACTCGTTTCCATCTGTTGTTTTCCCTGGTGTTATCGTACAAGACGCTCTGTGACAAAGAGTAGAATACCTGAACGGCAACACTATAGGAGTCATGCTTTGTTGAGACTTCTTTTGTTATCTGTCGTGCTGAGAATGCTGTGGTGTATTGTGGGTAAAGTGATAGCAGCCTCTTTGGCCTTCAGGGAGTGTGAACATGAACTCAGACGCAGGATAAGTTTACTGCAGGTTTAGTAAGGTTTTGTCGTATATGGAGGCGATTCTTGGCCAGGGAAAATACAGTATCACGGTGACACTTGAGAGTTTTCAGGAGTACAGGACGACAGAGAAGCTACTCGGTATTCACTGTAGAGTTCTCAGGGGGGACTGCGATGGTCGCCTCTGTAGACGTTTGTACCCTGTGGCACCAAGGGGCGATCAGAGTCAAAGAGCCAGTGGAGCAGGGAGGCAGCCCCGCACTCGGGTCTCGCGTGACTCGGGCAGCCAATGAGACGTCGGGAGATCTAGGTCTGTGTGGCTGCGTCCACTAATGCTCTGTTGTTGAGGGGAAACTTCGGAGCTGAGTAGATTGTCAAGTGGCATTAATCTCACACAGCGAGCCGGGCAGAGCATGACTTACAGGAAAACGTAAACATTGCATCTTGTTGTCGCTTATACTATTTTTGGGTGGTATTCGTGAGCTTGTTCTAAAATGACATCAGCTCAGCCAGAAGGCACTCCCTATTAAACAGTCAAATGCCATAAATTGAATATGACTTAATGTCAGACCCTTTTTGTCAAACTTCTAAAAATAGTCATTTTTTGATTTATTAAACAACTCTCTCCTGTTTAAAAAGGCTAGATCTCCTTTTATATTGGTTGAATCAATATGCATTATTAATTAGACTCTTCCCCTCATGGACATTAGTCAGCTTTCAGTCAGGGACAGGGACACATCCTTTTTTTGAAAGAGTAGATGACATCTTCTTTGTTCCCATGCCCTGTCCAGGTTTATAATTTCAATGGAAGTAAGAAGAGCATTTATTTTCTGAATAGTTTTCTATGAGGCTTTCAGTTTATTCCACATCATTACCTCATCTTGCCTCTATATGGTTCATTAACATCTTGAGTGTTTGGGATATTTTGCTGCACGAAATGTGGTTTCTATATTAGTCAAAAATGTCAAAGGCAACCTCCTCATGTCCCACTCAATAGCTGTCTTGGATTGAGCTATGATTAAGCTATTTGTGTGTCATGCATAATCCTGACCATAGTGTATGTGCTCTACTAGTTGTTTCACACAATTCAGCTTGTGTTTAGTTTCATTTATCTTGCTGTGCTACTGTACGGTTTTTCTCTGGCATAATATGAGTAGATACGTTTAGAAGTGGACTCCATCTTTATTTCATTGCAATGTCTTCAATCGTTGCATTTGTGGACGTTTTCAGTTCAAGTCCTTTGCTGTCAGGAAGCAATATTCTGCGCTTGATCTTTCTTTATTCATCATAGGTATACCTCCTCTTTAATAGTAAATGAGTGACAGGATTTGTGAAAGAAAATGACTGTTTGATTCATCCTGCTGGAGATGAAGCCAGCCAAGCATCCACTCTCCCTCTCAGGAGTTAAATGATAAAAGCCCCCAATCTCCTGATGATGCCCACAGGAGCATCAGGCTGAAGCAGAGTCCTGCACGGGTCTGATTTTCAAGACCCGCACCCGCGACCTGCAATACCGGACCCCGACCCGCTACCCGCACATATTGCCAATTAGATCCGCAACCTGACCCGAACCCGCATATATATGAGCAGTGAAAACGTGCAATTATTAAAACACGCAGTCGCATATTTGTCTCAAAAAGCGTGAGATGTTGGTTATTCTCTCCATCTAGGATGACACCAAAAGCCTCCCAGACGTTGGATTTCGCTCTTGAGGAAGTGTTATTGAAAATGCTGTATTCTCCGCTAGAGAGCTTCACCTCAGCCATTTCGAATGTGGCGCGCTCAGCAGCAGATTGATGCGCGGGGGAGAGGTCTGAGGATTTAAACATTAAACTAAATTATTATTATTTTAATATATTTATTATGCAACACCAGCGACCCGACTCGCATCATCTTTGTTTTACCCAGAAAAAAGCGTTTGAAAAAATACCACCCGCGAATCACCTTTTTTGCGGGTCACCCGTCGGGTACCCGATGCAGGACTCTGGGCTGAAGGCACGCTGTATGTTTCTATACATGTACAGCTAGGCCTGTCGCAGTTATTGCATAATCGCCTGATGGGGATTATTTGAGCTGACTGCGATCATTTTACTGTTGATTCCCATATAAAGGAATTTGAAGCTAATGGTATCAATGTGGCAACAAATATAAAGCAATAAGGTTCATATCTATTATGAAATGGATGGATGGAACTAGATACAGCGTTCAAAGCAGGGTTTGGTTTCGAACTACCCTGATCTGCAGAGCAAGCTCACTAACAGGAAGGAAAATAACTCTGCATCCAGTATTTTACAACCTTTATGATTTAATAAGAGATATTTAAGTGTTCTTACTTGGAATGTAATTCACCTAAAAAAGAAAAATGGCTTCTGACTTCTCCTTCCCTGTGGAAGTCAATGGTAAACGGATTTCAGGCTCCATAGCATCACGTGATGAACACATTAGTTCTGTGGACTGAAGCAGATAATACATGTATGCTGAAGTTGGTAGTATAGGTTAAAGTTAGTCTCCAAACCCCTTCTTTGTGACATTATAATTGTTTGGTATAAACTAACAAACAAGACAATATTTATTTAATTGCAATTATTTAATAATCATCACTTAAAATGTCATCATTGTGACGCCCTGTGTTCAGCCAACATGGAGAGTAAGAATGATGTTCTTCCTGCCTCATCATAGTGTCCTGAGCGTCTTGCCAGTCAGAGCTGCAGCCAAAGTATTCTCATTAGCACGGAGTCGTTGGTGTTGCAGCCACTGGCACAACACAAGGACTTCTTTCCAATCGAAGGACTAGTGGGCACCTCCCGGTCCCTCTCTCTCTTTCTCTCCTTTACTGTTTGTTTCCCTCTTGCTCTCTCTCTTCCCCTCCCTCTCCGAATTACACATACAGCAAGTGTTTCTTCCTCCCAAGTCTCCTCTGCAGCACTTTACAAATGCACGCACCGCTGTCGGTTTCAGAGGTCTGCTCGGGATGGCATAACAATTAAGTCTCATGCCTGCGAGAGCGGCAGTGCTATGATGAAGCGGTTTGTCGCTATAGTGTTACGTGGCCTTGTTAGCATCTCCAAGGAAAATCCCATTTGGGCAAAGGAATACCACCGGCCACCAAAGAAGGAGATCAGGAGGAAACGGAGGGCAGTGAAGAGAGCCACAACCATGGGCAGACGCAACTTAGTGCGGGCGGTTGGTATTCCTCCAGGGGTCAGAGAGCTGGATCACTGGAGTTTGTCTTTTCTACGCTGTCACCATCTGAATGCTTATTCGCAGGATGTAGTGGTTTCTATTTATGTGACAGAGGTTTAGCTTAGAATATTCAGTATTGGCTTTTAATGATTAGTTTTCAAATAGGCCCACATTTGCAGTCAAGTGATTATTTTGGTGTTCTAAAAAAGAAGGAAACTAAAACAACCCAGTTTTTTTTATAACTGCATCTACTAGTTGACTAAGTGGGTCGTCGATCAACAGAAAATAAATGATAATTGATCATTTTCATGCAAAAATGGCAGGAAATGTTGTTGAGATTTTTACTTTTTTTCAGTTTTGTATCATAGCAAAAGTGAGTATTTATATGCTTAGGAATGACAAAACAAGACTTCACCTTGGACTTTGAGAAACTAGGTTAGACTGTTTTTTTTTAAATACTATTTTTAAGACATTTTACATTCAATGAACCAAATGATTGTTGGTTAATCTACAGAATAATCTGCAGATTAATGAAAACAATGATCAATCGCAGCCCTATTTATTTATTTATTTATATATATAGTTTTATTACTACAATATTTCATAACATGTCTTGCCTATAATATTTGACTGAACCATAGTGTAGTCATTAATGTGAGTACGGATGCACCAAAACTAATTCCAATAGTGGCTTCATTGTGATCTGTATTCAAACCGATGTTGTTATTGGCCTCACTGTTGTTGTTGTTTTGTGTTCATTATTTGTCTTCCTATACTATGTTGTCTCTTATTATGCAGCTGGTAGCTCTCCAATTTCCCTGGGGGATTAGCAAAGTAATTATCCATCAGTAATATGTAGGCATAACTAGTCCCCAGCTTACTTTCATTTTCTCCCCATGTCCTTTTTTTCTGTTAATGCTCTTCCAGATAGGGTCCCAAAAATGACATCCATTACTCGTCATAGAAGGATGTTATGGGCGAACAGTATTTTTTAAGATTGCCACGACTACAGTATCACTTTATCATACATCCAGTTGTTCCTGAATTTGCCAAAATCTCAGCTTTCAGATTCATAATAGACTAGAGTGAAGTCGCAGAGGCTCCGAAGCACGAGTGATTTATAATGTTTCAGTTAGGCTGCTGCAGAAAATGTCCATGAATCACTCGGCTGCATTATTACAAAGGGTGAGTCACTTTGTCTCCGAGGAACTCCCGGAGTTATAATCTATACGTAGCCCAGACAGTAACTGAACTTAAATATTAAATGTCATACTCTGACAGTCATTGTAGCACTAAATATACCCTGAGGGCCCACATACAGACGGTTATGCATCAAGGAAACTACATCGCACTTTGAGCACCTTAAGTGATAAATTAAGTATTTCTACACACTTAACAGAGTAAGGTGTGTAAATGTCTGTGGGTTTTGGCCAATTGATTTGGTTTGGCATTGTAGACTCCAATTTGAATTGTGAACCATGTGTAAACTTGACATAGAGGCATTTGGATATTACTTTTTCATTTGAAGTCTTGATTACGTGGTTTTCTTTGACTTATTCTGGAACTGTTTCTCGGCTCAAATCTGGATTTTCTCTTTTCTACTCTGTTTACTGACAACCAGCTAAACTCACATCTCAATGAACAAACTCAGTCTTTTCAAACACAGCCAGCATTTTATTTCATTTTGAACATCCATTTCATTGGCTTTGTTATGTACGAGCTACGTCGCACTTTGCATCGGAGCACCTACTAAGTGGGCGAGGTGTAAATGCCTGAATTGAAGTTGATACATTACATATTTGTACACACTTCACAGAGTAAGGTGTGTAGTGGTCTGTAGGTTTTGGCCAATTGATTTGGTTTGACATTGTGAACCATGTGTAAACTAAGTTGATAACAGAGGCCTTTTGATATGACTTTTTCATTGAAGTCTTGATTACGTGGTTTTCTTTGCATTATTCTGGAACTGTTTCTTTACATTGTGCAAAAGCTATGCAAGTTAAAAAGCAAGCTACTGGAAAATAAGAAATCTGGACTCTCTACTCTGTTTACTTAAACTAAACCCGCATCTCAAATGCATGAAGGTCATGATAACACTCAGTCTTTTCAAACACAGCCAGCATTTTTATTTCATTTTGAACATCCATTTCAAACTCTTGGCTTTGGTATGAAGGTACTCTCCATTTTGGCTCTCTGCACTTTATTTTGTGAGCTCGTCACTGTCCAATGAAACAGGAAGGCACACCTCAACCCCCGAGAGTGAAACAATGAGAATCTGGCAGAAGGGAAACACATCATGTCGATGTTCTGTAACACTGCATATAAAGAGGTTTATATTAAACCATTTGGTCTGTTCTCATCTCCCAAAAACATTTAATAGCAATAAAGGGAAAGTTAATTTGTGCAGGTTGAACGAAGGCAGATGGGAAACTGGCTGCAACTGTAATTCAACTGACTGTCCTTGAACACGACAGTTTATGGCATAACTTCTTTCTTTTTCTGTGTATAAAGTACTAGAGGACATTTTCCACTGCTCCTCTCATCCTGTATTTTGGCTTTATTTAACCAGAAGCTGATTAATCTCATTCTAGGATCCACAAAGTTGTTTACCCAGAAAATGAATTGCCAAATTGTGAAAATGTGCGGTTTTTTCAGTGGTTTTACAGACATGTTTAACCCAGTGATTCAATGTGTTGCCATCATTGAATCTTCTTACATGGGTTTTTATCATCTTGGACCATCTGGATTTGGGGATTTTTTTTCTTCTAGCTGGGTGTGTGTGTGTGTGTGTGTGTGTGTGTGTGTGTGTGTGTGTGTGTGTGTGTGTGTGTGTGTGTGTGTGTGTGTGTCCAATTACATCTAATCTTGTCTAAATATGAGACAGTTGTTACATTAGCATATAGATATTACCATAATTGGTCTACGCTCTACACAGATTATATAAAAATAGAGCAAATATGCTGAGGGAGGAAAAATAACATGACGTTAATTTATGATAATAAATACAAAAAATATGAATACAAAAAGGCCAAATAATTGCCAATATATGTTTCCTGATCCCAAATGATGTTATTTAATTTCTTTTTTTGTACATATTCCAGTTTAGAATAAAACCTCCCCTATAAAATAATCTCAAATTTCTGTTAACCATGACCGCTTAAAGTAAATGAAAACTAGAATTCCATTTTGGATCAAACTGCTAGAAACTCTAGTCTGTTCTCTGATGAATAAGATATGCTGCACTGTATTTATGTTAGGCAAATTATTTTTAGAAAGAAGCACAATCACCCTATATTAATGCAATGTTTCTTATCTTTTGTTTAATATTGTGTGTAACACCAACTAGGCTTATAGTTTTATTTATAGAACATTTAAATCACAATTGGCAAAAAAAACAAAACTGAAATAGATATTTTTCCAAACGTTTCGAACCTAGCTGTTAATTTCCTACCAATGAGCTGTTAGATTAATCAACCATCATTTAGCCCTTCCAACAAAAGACACGCACTCTGCCGGCAGTGTGTTTAGGATTAGTCCAGAGTTCATATTTGCTTTGAACTTTTCCTCATCACCTCTCCATTCGGCTGAAGTTGTTTGGACATTAGAGTTATAGAATGCTGTTACGCTGCAGCTACAAAGGAACTCGCAGGTGATAACTTGACGCTGCATTTAGCACATTTCAGTCCTCATCATGTCTTCTGCAGGCTCCGGGCTACCCCATGAAGCCGTTTAGTGGCTCACATTCAAGAGGATATGTTCAGGTTAGACCTTCAGTTTCCTCTGATGTTCATTCACTCAACGTGTCGCGTCCTGAAAGCTGTTTGTTTAGCACTTGGAAAGCAGGGCGTTAGATCTCTGCTTTTACTGATATGTGTGCATAGACAGAAGCATGTGGGGGCTTGCACTGCTATGTCTTACCTCCCAGGTTAAACAGTGTATCCTTAACACTTCGGCACGCCATAATCATAGTTAACAGAAATGTGGCAGGCAAAGGCATGAGTCCAAGCTAACAGTTGGGCCTGGTGGATGTTTAAAGTGTCCCATCAGCAGACTAGGCTTTGTGTTACCCAAAAACTAAATTGTAGTAATATTTCAAGAGAGAACACATTTTCATGTAACGCCATCTGTAGGTCCATTTCTGCCAGTATGATCTGCCACTGTTTTGTGTTTTTCTTTCCTGATTTTTGTGTGTTTTTATCCATCTTTTTAGATGATATTGACGGTGTACCTCAGCGATGGGGAGCAGGCTGTGACGGAGGTGCCCATCACCCCTGAGACGACGTGCCGGGATGTCGTGGAGTTCTGCAAAGAGCCCGGGGAGAGCGGCTGCCACCTGGCTGAGGTCTGGAGAGGCAACGGTAAGAACTCAGAACACTGAGCTCTTTTTCATGGGAAGCTCAAAAGGAAGAAAAGCCGGTTGTAACCAGTAATGCATGAAGGTGAACTCCATTATCCCGAGCTTGGCACTTCACTTACATGCGCAAGAATGTAATTATATAGAGCAGTAGCCTCTAGCCTTCTTCATTAATGTAAAAACAAGATTCATTAAAGAAAGATCAGGTGCTGAGAAGGGCCTACCTGGGAGGAGGGAAATCATTAGACAACCTCACATCCTTGAATAAGGAAAAAAAGTGCTTTTAACACACTTTGAAATCATACTTGAAGTACAATGTGTAGGTCAGAAAAGGGTTACGTGCTGGGTCAGTCCATAGCTCTGTCACAGCAGATTCCACTCGGCCCGAGCGACCTGCTCCCATCCCCACAGCCCTGCTGACACACCCGGTGTTATCAGCATTTTTTGCTGAGGGGCCACTCCCCAGCTGAAAACAACATCCCGGCCATGGGCTTTATCAACCCGCGTTATGCAATCATGTTCGGCGGGTGCCTGACAAAGCAGCTGTCTGCCCCCAGCCCGACCCTCCTAAAACCTCTCTGTCTTTGTCACTGTCGCTTTGTCTCTCTTTATCCACAGAGCGTTGTCCTCTTGATATTGTTAAAGGGATTTCATCACTTGATTTAAATCTGAGCAAACCCTATGCTGATAGATACAGAGAGATTACAGCATAGTGCGCCTAAAGTCATCCTTTTTTCTGTTGTTATTGAATGTTTTAGACTTTTATTAGTTTTTCAATCATCGTAGTTGAACCCCTCCACTCCCACGACAGGTTTGCTTTGGCTTTCAGTGTGTCACCTGTGTTGTGGGTTCTTTCGTTATTACATACTGTAATATTGTATCACTAGTACATGGTCTTTGCAAATGTATGGCAGGATATAATCCCGCGTAGAGACCTCCAGTTTGACAGAAACAACCCCAAAATAATGTTTGAATAATGTTTTTTATTTGCCATTTTGCCATGTGTACATTTTCTTTTTCTGGTAAAAGGAACACGTTGACATTTTGGAAGTGTGCTCTTTTGCTTAATGAATAACAGTTGTAGACTAATTAATCCCATAATGCCATATTGAGATTATTGGAATCATTTTAGAACAGGGAAGGCTAACACTCTTATTTAAGCCAGTGGTGTTTTTACACTTTGAACAAACAAGATATTTACCTAGGTGTTCAGTGTGCTTCAGATAACTTATGGTACTGGTGTGTTTTGTTTTTACACAGCTGTTTCCATGGAACAAATGTGTTGAACTACTCTTTCCTGTTCTGTCTCTGTAGAGCGAGCGATCCCCTTCGAACACATGATGTATGAACATCTTCAGAAATGGGGGCCTCGGAAACAAGAAGTCAAGTTCTTCCTCCGGCACGAAGACTCACCGACAGAGAGCAGCGATCAAGGTGTGTGTGTTATCGTGTCGGCTCTGTCTGGACGTTTTCTCTCCATGTGGAAAATGGAGGGTGGGGTTTGTTTTCCAGAAAATCCCTGACAGCGGTTCCGGCTCGCTGCTCAGCTTTAGTCGTGGTGTCAATCAAAGTGACTTTTTTCAAAAAGTGTAATCAATACTTGATGGGGCATGTCAAAGGAATAAATCAGTGCCACATTTTTGCACGCACACACACTGCATTGACATGAACCTTTTTTGCCTTTATGTTTTTGGAGTATAGCCACATAAAAAAGCACCCACGCTTAAAATCAATCGCTAAAACCAGTGCTGCACATGATCAGGGGCTGAGCTAGAGTAGGATTTATTCAAATGTTGGAATTGAGTTGAAGTACACTCAAAGTCAAGAGGCGGCAGGGAAGCAAACTCACTCTGCCGTGATCCAGATGTGATTCATATTTGATATAAGTGTGGAGCTTGACTAAGAAAGTGAGTTACCCTCAAAATATCTGAGGATCTTTTTTAGAAGTGCAGCATAAGTTGCTAGTTTTCTATCCCTTCCTGTAGGGCTGCACGATTTTGGGAAAAAATCTAATTGCGATTTTTCTGACATATTGCGATTCGATTTGCGATATTTGTTTTTAAACGACCCAACAGAAGTTTATTGTAAAATGCGCCATATCTCCGGCTAGGAAGGTCGCATCAACGTGCTCCCGTCTCTAGCACCCCCGCAGCCCGAGCTACGAGTGAAAGAACTAAACTTACATGAAACGTCCGTTGGGTTGCTTTAAAGTCAAGCTTCAGTTTAAGATTCACCCTGTAATAGAAACATGTGATGGAGCATTACTAACCTGACTCAGATGGTTTGTTTCACCAAACCATCTAGGAAAGCTCCATTGGAAGCCATTTGGAAAAGGCAGGCACTTTCAAAAAGACTTGGCAGGTGATTGGATCAATCTGTCTATCACCTTCTATCATGGGCCACTTCTGATTGGTTAACAATGGCTGGTACATGTGGAGCACAGCACTTCTGATTGGTGTGGATGACTGACACACAAGAAAACAAAACAAAAAAATTGTTAAAAAAAAGGTTAAAAAAAATCGCAGGCTTTGCGATTTGATAATCGCATCATTTCAAATCGCGATTTCGATTTAAAATCGATTAATCGTTCAGCCCTACCTTCCTGTGAGGTTTTAAATCATTTACTCCATCAAATCTGTTTTATTAAAAAAAACGCTTGTGCTCGGTGCGGCTTTAGTCAGCAGCGCTTGTCCCAGTTCTAAATGCCGCTGTCATCAGCGATCAAGTCAGTGGATTTTCAAACCATTCCTGACAATGGTTGTTGCCTCTTAATCTGCACTTGTTTGTGGCTGCGTGCACATTTGTTTGTGTGTGTGATGGCGACTGTTTCTGTTTGCAGGGAGTCAGCAGTCTCAGGATCAAACGAGTCGCAGAAGTGGAAGCAGCGGAGAGAAGAACAGTGAGAACGGGGTGAGACTCAATAAGCACCATCTAGATTATGTTAAAAATACAAATGTACTCTGGGTCCTTATTAAATGTCATTATCAAATCCTCCCAAAATCTGATTTGAAAAAGGTTCTACATATTTGTTTTTTATTGCATTCAATAAATGAGAACACACAGTTAGTTTATCTTACAAATGGAGTGTGGAAGCTAGTTAGCCTAGCCTTTTTACGATAGCACTGGTTACTAGGTCATGTTACTTTTGGTTCATGTTATTTCGACATGCTCTGAGTGCCATTGTAAAACTCCTGCATACTGTGTTGTATTCATCAAAGATAAAGGGAAGGATGAACTGTTTACTTTAAAAGACTGGAAAGTACATTTTCAGGGTCATTGTTCTTCCTGTGAGTTCAGCTGATGTGATATTTTTTTACATCTGCATCTACGCTTTCAGGTTGTTTACTGGATTGAACATTTCTGGGTTTTAATTGTAAAGCACAATAATGGCAGAATTCCAGTCTACGGTCTGATGGAGAAGTCACTGTCTCTGAATATATGATTCTGATATGAAGCTTGTCTCAGAGTAACATCACTGACCCTGGTGTTACGGAGCTGCTGGTTTTGCACACGGCCCGGTTTCCCTGTCAGGTGTACCCACTGTTGTGCAGGCTGAGCTCTAGCTTCAGGACGTGTGTCTGACTCCGATAAGAGCAGCCTCTGGCGTGGCATCCTTTTCTCTCTCTTGACGGTCTGTCCCAGATTTCACAAAAAGGAAAGTGTTGCGATCAAGGAACCGTAACTAATTCAACCTTAAGGGTGAAGGGAAGAATCCAGCGACGCAGGATATGGAGAAGTTGTTTTTGTATCTTGAAGAAATCCTGTAGCACAAAAGCCCCTAGAATGAATTCCTCTTAATATCCTGAAAGCCCACAACTTTAAACTCTGTTTCGAGGAAGGATCATACATTTGTTATGGACCCAGATATATGCGATTGATCAAATCTCAAAGCGACCGTCTTGTTTAACTAACCTTTACATTTCCACACTATAGCATGACATCTAAAAAAACGTGGATTTTATCACTACAGTTTGTTCAGCAATATCAGCTTCTCTGCTTAACCGTCTAAGTGCCGAGGCTCAGTCGTGTCCGAGTTTCTTCCCTAATATCAGATTTAAAGGATTATATCAGTCAGCCCGCTGGATGATGTAACAGGCCCTAAGAGGATCATTGCTTTGGCTTTCCACGGACTGCTGCCCAAACCCAGGGTCTCTCTCTCTCTCTGTCTCTCCCTCTCTCTCCCTCTCTCTCTCCGATCATCCTCTGAGTAGGAAACGCTGCCTCGTAAAGAGCAGAGACCCCTCAAGGGAACGCGACAACAACCACACACATTTTCAATATATCTACGTATCACAAATATACCTTCCATAGTTGATGATGCCTGCTGATTGCCAGTATACTATTTACTAATTGATCCTACATTTTTCAAGCAGATATTCTCTTGTTCAAGCTCCTCAAATGTCAAAATGTGCTGCATTTCTGATGGTTTACTGAATACCTTTGGGTGTTAGACTTTTGGTCCAACTAACCCCCAATTGGAAAGACATTGACGAGAGAAATGACTTGTTTTCACTTCGATCTACATCCATTGAATACTTGATCAAATAATCCACATGTGAATCAATAATGAAGATAGTCGCAGCTAGGGGTGGGCGATATTGAAAAATATATTCTCACGATATTTTTCAAGCAGTATCACGATAGATGATATATATCACGATATTTTTTCATGTCGGTTATTATGGTTATTTTTCAAGTTACTTAACAGAACAACCACCTACAAGGTAACAGAAACTAAAACAAAAAGGAGTAACAGACCAAAATAGCTTTTCAAGCTGGTTTTATTTCTGAAATGAATCCCTGAATGAACAATTCAACATTTTGATATGGCTTCAAGGCACAGTTTCTCAGTATAAAAATGAACGTTCTGAGGTAGCAATAGCAGTGAACATCAATAAACATGAAAAGGAGGGTAAAACATAACTAAGTAAAACATAAAACATCAATGAGGAAAAGTCAGTGCCATACAATTAAAATGTAAACTTTAGACTTGAAGTGCAATAAAATACTTTAGCATAACTGAAGGGAAAAACTATATAAATACCTTATTGATCAAATAAAAATATAAGCCAACAGAATCAAACAAGACAATAAATAAAGTGCAATACTGTCTGAATCCTGACTAGACAGCTTTCGAGCATGTCTTTCACATCAGTTTTCTTTTTTTATAGTTTATTTAAAAAAAAAAAATAATTCAAAAAAAAAGATTTAATTTTATCACGATAGATACGATATCTCTGAAAAAGCATATCGTGGAGACCTAATATCGTCACGACGATATATATCGTCATATCGCCCACCCCTAGTCGCAGCTCTATATTTGCCCATGTCAAAAAGATAAAGATTATTTGTATTAACTCTTAATCTGCAGAGATTTATTCTGACTAAACCATCAATGTTTTGATCTATAGAAAGTGGGATACTAGTTAAAAATGCAGATCATAATTTCGTAAAAAAAAAAATAAAGGCATTCAAATGACCATCTGAGACATGAATCTGAAGATGATCTATTTTCAAAGTAGTTGCTGAAATTATTCTCTTGATCAATTCATGACAGTGATAGTCATCATGAGTAACTGTTTTTTTTATTTTATTTTGTATCCTTTTGGATTATTTTATTAACATGATTATTTTAGCCATAATCATGGATTGCTCTCCATTTCGGACCCGTACAGATCTGAGCTGTTGTTGGCGTGGGTAGCGTGGTCTGCCCTCAGTGAGGCTGGTTTCTGCTCAGGCGGGTGTTTCTCCGGCTCCCTCTTCATCACTGTCTGAGGGCGAGTGTGTGTGTGTATCTCCCTCGGGTGAATTGTCACTGATGCAGTGTTGCTTGAGTGCATCTGAGCGTGGCTGCATGTGTGTGCCAGTGGCTTCCCCCGCTCTCCCCATCTCCACCTCGGTTGAGTCACCCCCCCCTTCCGAGGCTTCCCATACAGGTAGGAAAACACTGCGTGAGCCACACGGGCGAGGCTAATGCACTGTCCGTGTCCAAGGAGATGAGATGACGCATGAGTACTAAAGTCAAATTATTCCCCAAAAAAAGCATGTTTTATTCAGACAAGATGAGTCACAAACATGTCTGCCTCTTCTAATCAGCAGTGAGAACAGGATTTTTTTTTTTACTTTTGCATGTTTATTTCCCTTTATTATCTCATTTGGTTTCATGTCGTCATCCTTCCTCTAACTGCTCTACTCTAAATCTCTTCACGTCTTAACAAAAGCAATTTATCTGAACCAGTATTATAGATTTTTTTGATCTGAAAAACAGAAAGCATGACTTTCACAGCCTCGCCTCCTCCCTCTTTCAACACACTTTCCTAAAGGCAAAGTCTCGGAGCGCTTCAGCTTTTCAAACCGCTTGCAGTTGAGAGGACTCTCACTCCGTATGCTGTTTTATCCAGAGTAGTGTGCCAGTGTGTTGATGGTAGAAACTACTTTTAGTTTTAGAACAATTGTGGAGACGGAGAGTTTGGTGAAGAACAGAATTGAAAGTGATCTCCAGTTTCCTTTATTCTGTGAGCTCTGGAACAACACATGGAGGCTGGTTCCACCCTCGGGAAGAGGATCTTTATGTTTATGAAGGTGAACCTTTTTTTATTCCTGGTAAAGCCTGTTTTAACTGTTATCTCTGCTGGCTAACTGACTAACAGAGTCTCATTATAGCTAAGGTCTCATCCTTGAGATTTGCTGGAGCTTTGTTGTGGAGGAAGAAGCTGAGTCTCCGGCTGATGAAACGGGCATCTTTTAAAAAACATTTCTGCAAATGGCTTCTTTTTGTCTATCCTGTTTCTTAATGGTTATGTAATGTTTTTAGCTCGTATAACTTTGAATGGAGAATATATTTTCCTGCATACATCTTGCAATTATATAAAAAATGTGTTTGTGAGTTGGTAAATAAGTGACATCATGAAACTTGGCACTGCATGGGATCTCACGTTAGAGATCTTCAAGGCATCATTTATATGTATAAGGTATGATTCATTCTGAAATCAAACTATTCCCAGATTTAACTTTAACCAAACTACTAAATGATGATGTTTTGGCTAGAGCGAGAATCGTGTATATATATTTATTTATTTAATATTCTTTCTCCTCATGAATATAAAAACGTGTGTTGGGGTTTAAAAGAAGCGAAGCATTAGCCCTTTCTGTTTAAATTCGTATGTATAATCAGTCTACATGGCTCGGTTGTAAACATCAGGACCACCCTGCTTAGGTTCACTGTGGTAATGACTTTTTCTTGTGTGTGTGTGTGTGTGTGTGTGTGTGTAGGTGGGGAATCAGCGTGTGGAGCTCACGCTGTCGGAGCTGCAGGAGATGGCCACACGGCAGCAGCAGCAAATCGAGGCTCAGCAGCAGATGCTAGTCGCAAAGGTACCTGCCAGACAATAATCTAATTTAAATTGTCCACTCCTTAAGTGTAAAAGTTAAGTTCTCATGTTTTTTTAAATTAGTCTTTTTTTTTTTCATGTTTTGGGCTAGAGATGGCCTTTATTTGAGATGTATATTTTTGAACGGGGAGGACATTGCCTGAATGTTCGTTCGAGCTTACTAGGCAGCGTTATGGGCCACCAGCTCTAACCACTGAGCTATCTGGCAACCCGAGGCTACACTTTATTTTTGACTTTTAAAAAGGTTTCTGATGTTGCAAATGTTCTATTAGTAAGTTGGCTGTGAAACATGACAGACTACATTAAGCTGGACCAATCATAGCCAAGGTATCTTTCACATGTTGTGTAACGCAGTAAAGGTGCAGGTCAGTCTGATATTATGTCATGTAGTCTGGGACATGGACACAGGCTAAGCATTAGTCCAAAGCCACATAAGTTCAGAGCACAGTCTCAAATCCGTCTGTTTGAGAGAAAATGGACTCTCGTTGCACTACTCTCATCCTAAGAGTCCCGTCGTGACCTGAAACTGGGGCAAACCGTTGTGTAACAAATGAGATGGGAGGCAGTATGAATCATTGTGGGAGGATTGTCCATTTAGTCAGAATTCATAGTTCAGTCTTTAAAGAAACTCGTGCACAGACATTGCAGTGTTTTGTCAAGCATGTGCTGTATGCATGCTGTTGAACCTTAGGAATACTACCTTTCTCAGACCAGTTTTAGAAAGGCAATTGTACCTTTTTAATGGCATGAATACCTCCACACCACCAGAGTCTACCAGGCGATAAGTCTCACCACGGTGCTCGTGGAGTGCAGATCAGTCGACATTAGTCATGCGAGATGAAGCCCACTGTAGACCGCAGATAGCAAGACGTATTCATCTATTGTTGGGGTATCTGAAAAGTAGGCCCCTCATGAAGCCCTGCAGTCATTTGGAAACCTGGGCCTGTCATTTCCTATTTTAAGACCCTAACTGGAGCAGTTCTCAGTTGGGTGGAGAGATGAAGTCACCGGACCCTTTCTTCAGCCTTCTGACAGTTTTGACACGGCAGCATTTCACTTCCAGTAGAAAGATTTAGCCCAGTTTCAGGGTGTGTCTGCCACACAGATATCTGCCAAGCTTTGGGGTGGCGCCTAGCTGTTTGTTTCTTTTACTGTTGGATGCATTTCGACATCATTTATTGCCCATAATAACGTGCGTCTTGTCCTCTGAAGGAGCAACGTCTGCGCTACCTGAAGCAGCAGGAGCGGCGTCAGCAGCAAACCGTTTCAGAGAGCGAGAAGCTGCAGAAGCTGAAGGATCGCGTGGAGAACCAGGAGGCAAAGCTCAAGAAGATCCGGGCAATGAGAGGCCAGGTGGACTACAGCAAGGTCATCAATGGCAACCTGTGTATGTATACTATCAACCTTTTACAAATGAACTAACTTTGTTTTAAACAGTAAGGGCTGTAACTAAGGGGACTTGTCTTTCCTTGCTCAGATTCTATTGATCTTTTTTAACCAAGCTTTAAATGTCTGTTTTCACTTTTCACCACAAAAATCCTCAAGTCTTTAATTAGAATAAAGCAATTATTCAGGCTAAATTCGTTTTTTTTTTATAATTAGAACTAAACAGTTTGTTAGACAATTACAGTACAGAGTAGAGGACACAGCTTGCTTTATGTGAGTATGTACACATTTATGGCTAATAATATTAGTATAATAATATTGTGATGTATGTTCAGAGCTCAGATATTCTCTCTCAAGAGAAAGCCTAATCGCACCCAGATATGAGAATAAACATTACCTTTCACTTTGAAGGAGTCCCCCAACATGTAGAACGAGCTGATGTGTCTTTTCTTCCTTCCTCTCCTCCAGCGGCAGAGATAGAGCAGGTCAGCGGCCTGTTCCAGGAGAAGCAGGGGGAGCTGCAGTCTGCGGTGCTGAGGGTGGAGCAGCTCAGCCTGCAGCTGGAGGACCTGAGGAGGGGGAAGCTCAACGGCATTCAGACCGCTCTGGGGGGCCAAGTCAGCGGCGCTGCAGCCCTCGAGCTCCGCAAACTGTACCAGGAGCTTCAGGTACCGTTTTTTTAGAAATAAGTGGAACAAAGTTTGTGCTGCTGCTCATACCAGGTGTCTATTCATACCAGGTGTCTATTCATACACCACTTAACCCTTGTGTCGTGTTCATTCCTCCCCCCCAAATGTAACTGGTCTGTTTGAACTGCTCTTACATCAACACAACAAATATGAATCACCACCACATTTGATTGAACCCCCTTTTAAGCTGTAAGCAATGTCTCAGACTACTTCATGAATAACTGGAGTGATGTTAGGTCTTTTCTTTTATGCATAATTTTGTTTTAATGATTGCCTTGCATTATATATGTTATACAGATGAAGCATGTTTTTTTTTTTTATCTTTCATTTTTGTATTGTTGTATAAAAACAATTCCAAATAAAAACATTTTAGAAAAAAAAGAGATAAAATTGACTTTTAATAATCTCTGTAAGGAATGTCGCGTTTCAAGGCAGCAACAGAATAAGTTAAATAAATCCAAGTGAATGGTTTTTACTGCAATATCTCCAGTATAAATGTGTTCTAATGAATCTGTATGTGTGTTTGCGTCTGCATTTATCACCCACAGATCCGGAACAAGTTGAACCAGGAGCAGAACAGCAAGCTGAAGCAGCAGAAGGATATCCTGAACAAACGCAACATGGAGGTGACGCTCATGGACAAACGCATCAGCGAGCTGCGGGAACGTCTCTACAAGAAAAAAGCTGAGGCACGTCAAAAAGAAAACCTTCCTGTAAGACTAAGAGCGCTCAACACCTCTCCTCCTTAAGACTCTTTTCTTTGTTCAAATGCTTCTGACAAACGCCTGTCCCAGTGAGAAGGCAGAACATGTGAATACGGCCCCAGGTGTTTACCAAATTATATTTCTTTAAACTTTTGCAAGTCTTCACGGAAACATTACATTACATGTCACTTGTTAAACGTAAAGACAACATTTTTTCTCTCCTCTGTATAAGCCATTATTGAATGAAAACTGACTAAGAAGCTTCCGTGTATTGTATTGAATATATTATCATTATATAATAATAATCAGCAAAATAATTATAATAATATTTAAAGTCTTTTCTTACAAGAGATGTAACTCAAAATGATAAAGACATTCAAAACGTATAAACAAGAGGAAATGGACATAGACATTTGCAAAGATTATTTAATATATAAATACAAAATAAAGAATAATACAACATTGAAAACACACATTAAAATTACAGCCAGATTTAGCCAAATTAAATGTGTTTTGATTTTTATTTGATAGAGCTCACAGCTTGCATGTCTTATAGCTCTTGCTGGGTTATTCAATAATCTTGGATCCTAGCATAAAGAAGCTTTGCTGCTTATTTTCATGTGCGTATAACTCCGTACATTAAAAACCCAGCAGAAGAAGATCTGAGAGCTTGTGAGGGATTATTAAAAGGACAAGTCAGCAATGTAGGCCGGTCCCAAACCATTAAGAGCTTTTCTCTTTCTCTTATATCTCCTCTACATGTTGATTGTTTTCCCTGTCATCATATTTGAATCGTTTCTATCTCTCTTACAGCTGAACAGAGCCAACGGGCCCCCCTCCCCTCAGCCGGCTGCTGGTACTCTGGGCCGCGTCGCTGCCGTGGGGCCGTACATCCAGGTGCCTGTCCCGGGCCGACAGGAAGGAGGCTACAACATCCCCCCCGATCCCCTCAAGCCTCAGACTCTGGGCGTCAATAACCAAGCCAACCACGGCCGCACCAAGTCAGGTTGGTGGAAGCAAATGAAACTACAATTGCAAAGCATTTTTCCCCCAAATGCCCAAACAACAACTGTAGCAGTGGATACGAAGCGATACACTTTCTTTAGGCCAAATATTTTTATTGAAGATACAGTATTAGTGAATTTCTATTCCTTTTTCCTCATGAAGAAAGCAGGGACTTAGTCAGTGAGACAAACCAGAGGAGAGAGTTTGAAGTCTTACTACACATTTAACGTCTTGCATGGAAATCTTGTGACTGAAATTCCCTGCTGGGCCCAAACTGTTAATTTCCTTCCGACCTGACTTCTTTGTTAATTCTCCGCCTGCACTTGATTTCTGTGACTTCCTTTTCCTTCCTCTCTAACGTGCCTCTCTTCCTGTGGTGTGATTCCTTTTCTCTCCTCCTCTGTCTGTCTTGTCTTTTCTCTGTCATGTCTCTGTTTATTCATTGGGGGTGGGGTCAACTCTTTCCTGGGGCAGACGGTGTGCGAAAGCCTCCTGGTCCTTGGAAAGTGTCTGATTTAGACATCGTTGTGGACCCGGTACCCCCGTCCCTTCAGGAATCACAGTCGGGCCCCCGAGCCTCCACGGGCTCTGACGGCACGTCCCGTGAGTGCTCAGTGCTGCATAAGCAGGGTGGTGGGGGGGGGGGCACCTCCTGAACCTTCTCTGTCCATTGTAGCACGAGACCCTCTGCATGCACAGGAGATTTTACACCATCGTCATCTTTTAAATAGTCAGTTTGCCCAATCACACCTTGAGCGCCCCACACTTAAGTCACCAACTAGCGTTTTCATACTCAACATAAAAATATGGCTGTGCCAGATTTGAAAGCTTAATTCATAATGTTCATCACATTTTAGACCAACATCTGAATTTCAAGCAGCACTTTCATTTTGAAAGTCTATTCATTTTGATGAGTCCAGTTTTGTCGCAAACACAGATTAACATGCATCGATTCTCAGTGTTTGTACTAGGGATGCCAGCAATTATTCGATTTTTCGAATATTCGTTACAGTCTCCATAATCGAAAATTATTTTTAAAATTCGATTCAAGCGGCGAATAATCGATTAATATTCGCCAGGGCTGTCCGATTTTCAATTTGATCATGGTCAGTTTCTGGCATCCCTAGTTTGTACATTTAGATTGTATATAATTGATTGCTCCTAATATTTCCAATCAAAATGTAACAATATTCTGCTTCAATCAATATTGGCTGGTTTTTGGTCGCTTCACAACAGTCAAAAAAAAGCGATTGCTATTCCTTTCGACACGCACAAAGGGAGGCATTGACAATTAATATTAATTAAATACAAGTTGATTTGATTAAAACAACAAAGGCTTTTATTTAATTTGAATAAAGATATTATTCAATTTGAGGATTTTGTTAATGGAATCATTTTTTGGGGTGATGACATAACGACGTATGACGACAGAGCTTCAAAACATGTTTGGAAATGATGTACAGCCCTTCAGATTCACTTTACTGTAATGCAGCTGATTTTCTCTGGCAGACAAATTAAAGTTGCACAGCTGTGGAATCTGAAGGAGATGAGCATCTGTACCAGCTTAACGCGAACAATGGCAGGCTGATGGAAGCACATTGGTTTGGCAGCATCAAGCTCTCCTGCCAGAGCAGCATTCAGCCAGTTTTAGTGAACTGAAGAGAGCACATGTTGACATTTGAGTGTTTCCTCTGTGGATCGGGCTAATGACGTCAAAGCGGTGGGGAGCCATCTTGAAACACTTTGCTGCCATCTGCAGAAATTGGACGGCCACTAATCGTAGCTGACATCATGCCTCGTATGAGGAAAGTGTCACCGCTGATCCCTGTGAGTGTTTTCGGTACACTTCTGAGAAGGTTCAGTGAGCGCTGTGCCTCGTATAGTCACACATTCAGAGCAGATATTTGGGCTTTGTTTTAGTTTCATAACATCCCCCAGACTGCCTAACCTTAACATCCACATCACATCTTCACAACAACTGAGCTGTGAGAATCTCTTCTAGTTGTCAAACACTTAACATGTCGAGGGAAATTAACTTGTACATCATCAAAGTCAATGAACAACTCATGATAGAATGCAAAGACCCAGATCAAGCTGTTTCCTTTCGCAGTCTTGATTGTAGGTAGGGCCGCTTTCTCAATCTTTATTTTTTGTTTATTCGGAGTAACCATAGGTACTCAAAAGCATCTTGGAAATCTGAAAAGCCATATTCTGCTTTTTAGACATTTGGGGTCTGTAACTAGTTGGTTAATATCATTTCCATACAACCACATTCCTGTAGAATTGTCCCACAAATATTGCTTTTGTTTTGTCTTCCAATTTCCATCCCACTTCTTTTCAACCCATCTTCTTTACCCTGCCTATATATATTTTTCAAGATATACGTTTATTCTTGGAGATAAACGGTACAAGCAGTCCTTTCCTTTAGTTGTCATTTAACAAATGGAACTAAATCCAAACACTAAAAACACGTCCAGATAAGCGATCCACTAATGTAGATGAATTCATTACCATCATTGCTGTGAAGGCTCAGGATGTGTTTCCTATTGACCGAAAGCCTTTCTTGAAATATGTTGTGTTCGGCCTTCTTGATGAATGTACCTCTCAGAAGAAGGGAGGGTAATTGCTAATCCTTTTTGCCAGAAATTAAGAAATCAACCATAAGTAGTTGGTGGCAGTAAAAGTAATAAAGCTTTAAGCAATTGTTGTTTTCTCTAGGGACATAGTTTGACTTGTACGTGTAAACAATGCTCAATTGTTTAGAAAAAGGCAACAGGAATTTAGTTTTGAATGTCTCCTATTGGTGTCTGGTTAATAGGATAAGCTTCTCAAAATCCTGAACCCTCCATTTAACACCAAGTCTGGGTCAAAATGGTAGAGATGCTTTATGTGTGTCAAGTCTTAAACTTTTTCTATTCTTGCTATACAATCACAAATGTTCCACATTATGTGGTTAATCACACAGTCACACATTTCTAGTGTGAAAGATCATCAATTGTTACCATTTGGACCTGGATCTGGTTTGTAAAAGAGGCTTGTGCTTCTCATATCACTTCCATTAATAGCCTGTTTTGATCTTTTACAACATACTCACTGTGTCCTGTTTGTGCCCTAGCGAGTGAAGCTGGTTGGCCTACTTTAGGCAAGTCAAACTCAACTCTGAAGCCTCCTGAGAGACGAAACTCAGGGACTGACACCCAGGGCAAGAGCCCTCCCTCAGGCTCCCCCGTCACTCCGAGTGCAGACAAGGTTTGTCCTCCTTCTTCTATCTGTCTATTGTTTTTGTTTTCTACCTCCTGATCTCAGGTCACATCTATAAGATTCCTCTTTATTCATTTGAAAAGAGTGTAGTGATGGATGTTGTATTTCATGCTCCTTCACAGGTGCTAGACTCCAAAATGGTTGTGTCCTCCCCCGCCATATCAAAGCCACAGCCGCCCCCCTATGGCTCCCACCTCATCTCAGCAAACTCGGCCACCACCTTGGATCGACGCAAGGAAGTTCCTCCTCCTCCTCGCCCCCTCCCAAACCCCCCAGCTCCGGCGTGGCCCCGCACCCCCGCCACCACTGGCTCGTCCTCGCAGCAGATCCAGCAGCGGATCTCGGTGCCGCCGAGTCCCACCTTCCAGCAGAACGCCCCGCTCTTCCCCCCAGGGCTGAGCGAGCGGCTGGACCCCCTCCCAGCTGTGGCAGTGCGCCCCTTCATCCCAGACAGAGGGTCACGGCCGCAGTCGCCCCGAAAGGGACCGCCTACCATGAACTCAAGCTCCATCTATCACATGTACCTCCAGCAGGCAGCGCCAAAGAGCCAGCCGCTCAAACCGGCACTCAAAGCAGGTGAGAGATCTGAACAGATGGTGCAGTACTCACATTTCTACTTGAGTAAAACTATTAATACTCTTGGGTAAAAATGCTGAATCAATCAGTCGGGCCTACTTTTCCATATTGTGATACAGATATAAAGATATACATGAGAAACTAAAGTTCAACCAATGAGACTTTTCATAAAAGATACAGCATTATCATACACTTAATTGTCATTTAGCACTTAAAGAATAACTTCCTTTATCCTCAAAAAGCTTCAAGAAAGAATAAAGACATAATTACTCATGAATTGGTCAGCAACAAACAACATAAGAAAAGGATAAGTAAAGACATGTGCAAATGTTTTTGTGGCAATTGACCATAATCTTATCTTTTTCGATCAGCTGTCAAGAAAGCTAAAGTTTGCTTGTTTCAGCTTTAAAAAAGCATATACATCACTTTTTTGTATTTATATCAATTTAATCTTGGACTGTGATACAGACATTTCGATACAAGTAATGTGCAATTGTAACTTTAGTGTTTTAGACTACTTACTATGAATGAAAATAGTAACTACCAGGTGAATAAATGATGATGATGATGTAAATTCCCTCCAATGTTCTCCCCCTCTCTCTCTCTCTCTGTTTGTCTACAGTATATGGGAAGCCTGTCCTCCACCCCAGCTCGACCCCCCCCTCGCCTCTGCCTTTCACCCAGGCCGGAGGAGCCTTCCCGTTGCTCCAAGGCCATCTCATTGGTGAGGACTGTATGGACGGAGAAATGGATGATCAGGAGTTCTACCAGCACCCAGAGCCCTTAGCCCCTCCCCCCAGCGTGGAGAACATCCCACGGCCGCTCAGCCCCACCAAGCTCACCCCCATGGTTCACTCCCCGCTGCGCTACCAGAGCGACTCAGATCTCGAGGTGCTACGTAAGAAGCTGGCGAACGCTCCGAGGCAGCTGAAGAAGCGCAGCTCCATCACAGAGCCGGAGGGCCCCAGCGGCCCCAACATCCAGAAGCTGCTCTACCAGAGGTTCAACACCCTGGCAGGGGGCATCGAGGGGAATGGAGTCAGCGGGTCGGGAGGAGGCAACGGTGCAGGTAACGGAACGCCATTTTATCAGCCGGCGAACCCTCCTGCGTATCTGGGAGGCGACTCGGGGGCGGATACAGACAATGGAAACCTCCTCTCTGAGCTGCCGCTTCCTCCTCCACCGGAGGCCGAGGAGCTGGGCGGACTGACATCACCGAGTGACGCCAACGCCAACGAGTCGCTGCCCTCGCCACCAGAGCTGGATCCCGCTGAAGACGAGGAGGCAGAGGACGACAACAACAACAACATGGGGGGCTCCGAGGCGTCGCTGCCCAGCCCCCTGCTGGAGGTCAGCACTCCAGAGGAGAGCGGCTCCGCCAGCTCACACACTCTGGTGAGAGAAACACACACACACACACACACACACACACACACACACACACACACACACACACCTGTTATGGGACACTACATGCAAATACTGTGTTTTTCCCACAATTGAGCTATTTTGCTTACATAACATGTCTTCACAGACTGAAAATACTGAAAATCATTTAAAGTGTTTTTTTTTACAAACATAATTTTGTTTCTGTAGATTTCTCTTTCATTTACCATAAAAAAGCCTAAGAGTATACCTCATTTGCGTAATTACACACATTTGCTTGTTCAAACCTAAAAAGCACTGTATATATTTAGTTAGTTTCAGTTTTTCTATGATTAATATAATTTTAATTTACCAACATGAGAACAAACAAGGACGTTAACCTGTCTAGAATTGTTGTTTTAAAAAAAACTTAAAAAATACACAACGAGGTGTTTCTTTTACTCCTCTGTGTCTATTTGGGTCTATAGAGTTGGATGAAGATCATTCCTCATTGTTATTTTGAACATAACATTTAAGAAAACTTCCAATACAGACAATATGTTTTAAGTTATCAACTGGGGTAATATCATACCCACCAATTCAATAAATAAAGAGAATAAGAGTGATGCATTGAATTTAAATGCTTTACCTAAAAAACATACAAAAGATGTACAGACAATATGCGACAGTCATAACTGGTGCTTCCTCCTCTCTGATCAGGATAAGCGTACGAACCTGAAGAAGCCAGACTCTGAGCGGACGGGCCACGGCTTCAGGGTGAAGTTCAACCCTCTGGCTCTGCTGCTGGACGCCTCGCTGGAGGGGGAGTTTGACCTCGTCCAGAGGATTATCTATGAGGTATGTCACGACTGTGTGAGTATGCTTTTAAATTATTTTAATTCCCACGCATTTGCGCCTTAGCACTCATCTTTTCATCTTGGCCTTTCATTCATTTCCAGGTGGAGAACCCGAGCACGGCCAATGACGAGGGCATCACCCCCCTGCACAACGCCGTGTGTGCGGGACACCACCACATAGTCAAGTTCCTGCTGGACTTTGGGGTGAACGTCAACGCTGCAGATAGCGACGGATGGTGAGTGATGAAGGCACACATTATGAATAATAATAATAATAATAATAATACTAATAATACTTTCCTGGTGCTCAAAGCGCTTTGAAAGCAAGTAAAGAAGAAAAATAACAACATAAATAAAAAGCGCTAAACTAGGTGGATAAGGGCGAGGGGTTAGTGGATTAGGGGTTGAAGGCAAGAGTGAAAAGGTGAGTTTTGAGGGATTTCTGGAATGATGTGAGACCTGAGGCGACGGGTGGGGGTGTGTCATTGGATTAGGTCACAGAGGTAGGGGGGGGGAGGCACGGTTGTTGAGAGCTTTGAAAGTGAATAGTAAGATAAGTAAGTCAATGCGGTGTTTGATGGGGAGCGTCGGGTGGAGTTGAGCAGCTGAGTTGTGGACCTATTGAAGCTGAGTTGCGGACCTATTGAAGCTGAGTTGCGGACCTATTGAAGCTGAGTTGCGGACCTATTGAAGCTGAGTTGCGGACCTATTGAAGCTGAGTTGCGGACCTATTGAAGCTGAGTTGCGGACCTATTGAAGCTGAGTTGCGGACCTATTGAAGCTGAGTTGTGGACATATTGAGGTTTATATGAAGACATTTAGTGGTTTGATTTTTCTGTTGTTAATTTTTTCATTAATATATAATGTTTGTTTTCCTTGAACAGGACTCCACTCCACTGTGCCGCCTCCTGCAACAGCGTTCATCTCTGCAAGGTGCTGGTGGAATCAGGGGCCGCCATCTTTGCCAGCACCATCAGCGATGTGGAGACTGCTGCAGATAAATGCGAGGAAATGGAAGAGGGCTTCATCCAATGCTCCCAGTTTCTATACGGTGAGAAACAACCCACACATTCTGAAAGGATGTATTCACTTCTGTCCAAAATGTATTACGGTTTGTAAGGCAGCTTGGTGTGATTAGAAATAGTGCTGTGGTTTTAACCGAATGAGATTACTTTACCTTAAAAGATATTGGTGTAATGTTTCTCTGTTTTGGACTCTCTTGAGCAGGAGTTCAGGAGAAGCTGGGCGTAATGAACAAGGGCACGGTGTACGCTCTGTGGGATTACAAAACTCAGAATCCGGACGAGCTGGCGTTCAGCGAAGGAGACGCCATCACCATCCTGCGGCGGCATGACGACATCGAGACAGACTGGTGGTGGGCGAGACTCGAAGACACCGAGGGCTACGTGCCACGCAACCTGCTAGGGGTAAACATAAACTGTCATATCTGCCCACCAGCAAGGTTATGATGGTCGGGATTTTCAGATTTTTCTTTTTTAAATGTTATGTTGTAGTCGTATTGTATTTCATTTAGGTTTAGTTTTAAGCTTTAGTGTGTTCACCGTTTTTGTTTATTTTCAAGTTTTCGGACTATCTCTCTATGTCAGACTTTTACATATTTAGCTTTTTTTAGGGCCAGGTATACTGTCTGATTTGGGAATTAGATTGAGTCCTCTTTCACTACCACTCATCAGAAAATGACATCCGATGTTCGGACCCGAACTGGATAGCTTGGTTAAATGGTATTTAATCCACTTCAATATTTCTCATGTTCTTGTAATTTCTTTCTACAAGAACTAATGTCAAGTGAACCTTAGGGATTAAGTGTAAACAAGATAAGATGTACTTTATTCATCCCAATTTGGGAGATGTTATTGTTGCAGCAGCATAAAACAAAACAAGGCTTTGCACATAATAACAAATGAAAAGAGTAGAAATAAACAATTCTAAAGTAGAAACATCTCAAAATAGAAATAAACCAGCATTAGAGAGACAAATGATGACTGTGAAGATAAAACATCTATAAACTGTCTGAGAAATAGAAACACTATTGAAGGGAATAATGGCATTGCGCCCTCTGCTGGAATGTCATAACAAATGTGAGCAAGTCAACTTAGTCACGTTTAACATGTCTCCTCGTTGTGTTTGTTTTCCTACAGCTCTATCCCCGGATCAAGCCTCGTCAGCGCTCCCTGGCGTAATGTCTCACTCCTCTCTCACTCCGCTGACCTCTGGCTAATAGCTGGACTTGTGACACAAAGAGCAGAGAACAAACAAGCCTGGTGCTCTGCCTTCTTCCCGCGGCCGTAACCCCACCCCCCCCTCCCCCCCCCAGCAAGCAATGGGCACCAAACTGACACACATATTTCCATGTGCACACACACACACACACACACACACACACACACACACACACACACACACACACACACACACACACACACACACATGCAACAAAACACTAGCACTCCAAATGCGAAAAATCTCTTAAACCACTCCACCCTGACCCCTACCCTCCTCCTCCTCCTCCTCTCATCCTTTTGCTCATTCATTGTCCTAACTTGGTTTTACCGCCGTTAACTGAGAGCTGTGTGTCTACTTTAAGATTAAAACACTAACTTATGTTTAAGTATTCATTGCAGCCATGAGTTCTTAAATGGCACTGGTCTGTATGACACTATGGTAACTGAAAAATGATCTGTAATGGTGAGACATTACAGTTTTATGTAAGTACATTGTTATCAATTTATTATCCCAATTTGATCCCCTTGCATGATAAAAACACTGACGCAGAAAAATGTGCTACGTGTTTTATCTTGCTGTAGTCTAACCACCAAAGATGAATATAGATTTAACAATGTTTTAATCCTATAACTCCCTAAGACCTCGCATAATTGTTGAGGTGGGGAGTGAGATAATCAATTGATTTGCTGCTTTCAGAAATGAATGAAGATAAAGAATCCCTTTTTCCCTCAAGATTTAGAAGGGACAAATATTTTTAAAAAATAGGTGTAGATTCTCAGTATTAACTACACAGGCCAGTCCGAACAAATCCAGCGTATTAAAGCAAAGATGAACATAAATTGACGGCTCACAAATTGTCATGAATTGAGTTTCATGAACATCATTACATGTTTTTTCATTCAGTGTGATCTGTTCAGATTCTGTATGCGGGAGTGTTATGGGTTATCCAGTTTGTAATATGAGATTTCAAGATCCAAATATTTACGCAGAGTTTGTATTTTTGGTAATCTGATTGTCCTTGAAATGAACGTCTCATGCTATTGTGATTTGAAATGGGCAACAAACAGTATTTTGCTTTACCAAAAAAGGTTGCCAAATTGAGAAGCTGTGTCTGCACAACATCTGTAGAGTGTGATCCAAGCTTACAAATGTAAATCTATTATATTACTATACGTATTGCCGCATTTAGAAATATAAAAAAAGTTGTTTTAAACTCCACAGCGGTGAGGCGGGCAAGAATCAGCTCCACAGAGACAGAAAGATACTATTTAATTTGTGCTATTTTTAAGTCGTTACAGTATGTATAACCTTTTTTTAAGCATTTATTATACTTTTATTTTTTTCTGACTTCTGGCACTTGATCTTTGCTTTTTCTATGATTTCACTTGACCACATGGCAAAACACGTGCAAGCAGTATTTTCTTAATCAAAGGAAACCTGTCTTTTAATGAAATTCAGACACTCCACACCAGAAACACTCGCCCGTCCATCATACAGGCTTTGTAGACCTCACTAGACAAAGTGAACACTCAATATTTATATCCTTTTTTTTTTTTTAATATGTAATGTCTCGTTATCTTACGTTGCAGTTCTTGCTTTGATGCTGTGACAAACAAACCCCACTTTAACTCAGGACCAACACGGTGCTGCTGACACAGTTCCATCACTCAACTAGTGATCATATTTCTATTTTCTATCACCACAAACATCACTTTCTTTTGCGCAGCGAAACAAATACACAGTCCAAATTCAAATAAATCAAATCAGTAATGGGCATAAGTAATTGATCGATGAAGAGATGGTTATTGTGTTTAGATTCAGATTTTGAATTCGCTACAGACAATCCTGAATTGACCCAGTTTTCTTCTTCCGGCTGCCCCCTTTCAGGTCTACACCACTCCAGTAACACTAATACTTGTGTTGTTTGTCACATAATTCAACAGTCCATCAACTTTTTCCTGAACCCTGAGTGACTGAGCGTAATGCCAAGTGTGCTAGTGGCCCATGCTTTATCATGGCTTCATCTGCATCTAGTGTGAGGAGATGTGTTATATGTCTGTTTGCTGTATGGAGAAGTGGGCTTGCTGTATAAACGCTGTACTCACACATTGAGTTCTGTAAATGTGAATAATAAAACAGAAGCTCTGGCATGACAAATGTATTTCAGTGTCGTATCCGCAAAATAATTCAACGAATGCAGTGTTGCATTTTATAAAATGTTTAAATATTGTGAACGTTTGGAGTTTCTCTTTTTTTATACAGTAAAATGGTTATTAATGAATTCAGGATTCGGTGAGAAGCAGCTGTCTTTTTAGGAGACTTTTTGTGTGAAATGGAGAAGCTTGTGAAAGTGATACCATCAAGAGCCTCACTGATGTTATGGTCCCCACTCCCCACATTGCATACAGACTGTAGGGGCTTAGTACAGCTACGTTTAATTTAACTAAACTAACTGATAAAGAGATGTAAGTAAATCCAAGTCAAAAGGGAATTCAAGTAAATGGCTTCAGCATAGCCTTATATTTTAACTCTATTTCTAATATGTAATGTTTCCATTCCAATCGAGAAATGTGATAACACTGTTATTATCTATCTATCAATCAATGTTTATTTATATAGCCCAATATCACAAATGTTACATTTGTCTCAGTGGACTTCACAGTTTGTACAGAATATCAGTATGACAATACGACACCCTCTGTCCTTAGACCCTCACATCGTACAAGGAACAACTTCC